AACACCAAGGAGTTTGCAAGCTGAGGCAGCTCTCAGCAGCAAACAGAATCCTCAGATTCTGTGGATGGGGGCAGCAAATATTGCAGCCCAAAGGGTTGAAAACAGCCTTTAGGTGAAAATCAATCTGTCGCAGCTGGGTAGTGGGGGAGGCTCTGATTAGAAGAGCAAAAATTGATGCCCACCTTACAAGTAAAAGCAGAAAGTGGATGCAAAAAACTGAACACGAAGTGCCTGTATGATGCTTTCATATACCAGCCAAATGAAAACCTCATCATTTCCTACCCTGCCTTTTTTTTTTTTTTTTTCACCAGCCCCTCTCTGAGTGAATTACTCTGGCAGATTTCCTTCCCAGTCTCTCAAGCTATAAAGGGTCTATTTGTAAAGCTAATACCCTTCTGCAGCATTTATCTAATGGGTAGCTAGGGAAAAAACTTAGCAGAAACAGGTTTTATTTTCTCCACCACCAAGAGGACCACACTGTCATCTTTTTTTCCACAGTGCATGAAAGGTGACTTGGACTATACTGAAGTGATAACGCTTCACATGAGGGTGTTCTAGGACACAAAAGAAGCTTGAGGCCTTTGTACCCATTTTCCCAACAGGGAGGGCACAGATGAGTGTTATGTTATTTTGTGCTTGAGGAATCCGAAGAATGCTTGATCATCTCTTTTTTTTTTTTTTTTAATTTCCTATTTAAAAAACATTAGATAAATCAGAGTAAAAATGACTTGCTTTCTCACTTGATCATATTTTCAATAGCACATTATGTCCTAGACCTGACAAGAGCTACAGTCCTGCCATCCATGGGATCGAAAACTGAATTTGCAGTGCAAGAATAACCAGGTAAGACAGCATCAGAAAAAAAAGCAGGAAAATCCTGAAGCTCTTCTCCTTTGCAAGTCGTTTTACAGAAGGGCACTGGGAAATGAGGGGACTTGGGTGCTGCTAGAGGGAGGTTTGACCATGCCAGGAGCTTTCGTTTGCTGGCCAGACCTCTCTCCAGCACTGCTTTCCCTGGCTCATGGTGCAGTGCTGCTGAGGGGACTGTGCTCAGGCTGCCAGAAGTTTCTTTTAGATAGAAAAAGCTCTTTTTTGGCTTTAGACATGTGGATTTCTAGACAGATATCAGGGTGCAAATGTGAATGAAACAGTACCCCAGCAGGAACTAGCACGCAGCCTGACCCAGGAGAGCTGGACAGCCTCATGCCTGTGGCACTGGCTTGGGGACAAAGTCCAGTCTCAGAAAAAGCCTGGTTATCTGCCCTGTTGTGTGGTCCGGTTAGAAACAGGGTGATTCTGCATCTTTGAGGGCAAAACCAAAAGTAGCTACTCCCCAACACACAGGAAACCAGGCAGTGGGACAGGGGGAAGACCAGCAGTTTATTGTGACACGGCTGTAGCACAGCCGTGGCTGTGGCTGAAGGCACACAGCAGAAAGGGTCACCGATGGGTGTCCGAGCATGTGACACGGATGCAGTTTTCCTCCTGCTCCTGTGGTTCAGCCTGTCCCTGGGAAGGCGTTTGTGGCTGCAATGGTGATGCCACTACCCGCCTTCACACTCCCTCTTCCCAAACTCCTCACCAACGCAGCTCACCTGGCCGCTGCGCAGTTTCGTCCTGCAATTGAAGGCATAAAAAGATCTCCTTTCCAATTAAGTGGCAGAGACACCACAGGTGCTTCTTGGGGCTGTCTGTGAGCTGGAACAAGTCCTGTCTTCACAGCTGGCCATGGCACTTGTCTGCCTGCCACGTCCCTGAGCACAGACCCTTGGCGCGCGTGGTCCAGCTCAGCCTGACCCCACATAACTGCTTGCCCCATGGGAATAGCATGAAACAACAACTCCTCATGATGTATAACTTTGTTACTGGAGAAAAAAAACAGTTTTAGGCCAATCTGCCAGATAACATAGTGTAAGGATGTGAGAATTTGACTTAAAAACATGTGATAGTAACTTTAATGACAAGTTCTGCCAAAAAAACAACCTGGGGAAAAAAAAATATATGGCCAAAAAAAAAACCCCTTCAGTAGGAAGATGGCAACAAGAGTTTCAGACGGATGAAAGGACCAACAGAGAAAGATTAAGAGAGGGGATTATTTATATACTGAGAACCTGACAGATAGTGTGGGGATGTGCTGAAGGGATGGGGTCGCACACAGCCCGAGACAGGGAGCAGCTGCTGAAGGGTGTAACCAGCACTGCTGAGATGAGATGGGGAGAAAGGAAAAAACACTGGCTGAGGGCCAGGAGACTGACTGTGAGATCAATAACACTGTTTTAGATGTAAAGAGTGTTTGGTGACCATGGCAAGGAAAGGGGTATCAACCTGTAAATTGTGAAGATTTATTTTGCTGGTGCTAAAATGGCAACAGTGGGGTGAAGCAGCAAAAGCCACACACAGAGATTCTATGGTTTAGCTCCATACATGGAGGGAGGGTCCTGTATGGACAGGTGTGATGAAATTGTTCTTTCTCCCCAAGGGCTGTGAAAACAGCTCTAATAAACAAGGAGAGGAGACTGGTGGGGTGCCACAAGTTCTGGGCATCCTTGCAGTGAGATGGTTTCTCCTTCCCATATCTCTTCGATAGCGAAGCTTGTCTCCTGCCTTAGTCCAGACACCGAGGCTCTCCCAGTGCACGGAGAGGCTGTGCACAGCAAACTCGGGCACTGATCTTGCTAAACTGGGAGCTGACACAGAGACATCAGGCTGTCTGATGGGATATTTGAATGATTTAAAAGCACATTGTGCTAACCACACTTGCAGCAGCAAAAATGGTACGTAGCCTGGATCAATGATGTTCAGCTGTCCAGGTCAATGGTTTCTTGGTGAAGTCTTCGATTAATGGATGCTCATGAGCAAAAGGATGACTCGACTTCAGTGGTACGTTTGGGGAAGGGTGGGAGCCAGAGACAGGGGCTAAAAGGGGTTGGCAGAATCCTGAAACAAAGAATGGAGGCAGTAAGTAGGATGAGATGATGTGAACAGCCTGGGGTGTGGAAGGGTTTGCCAGGCCCCACTTGCAGCATGTATAGCACTTGTCAGCTCTAAAGTGACTTGGGGAGCCCCAGAATTCACACACACAGCATATGAAACAGGCAGAGGAGGATATTTTTTCCATAAGGTGTTAAATAATAGCTGTTGTTAATGACCTCTTCTGCCATCCCCAACAGCGTTTCAGAGCACAGCCATTCACTCCAGGGGCTGCTAACTCCTTATTACCAGTGGTTCAGGCTGCAAGGGGGGGTCACCACCTTCTGAGTGGTAGGCAGTGCTGCTGGATGCTTACACACTGCTCGGAGGTGTTTGCCACCCCCAGCTGGGTTCCTCCTACACCTCTACCAGGCCTCCAGCTGCACCTGTGGCTTCCTACAGCCCTAAAGAAATTAAATTTCATCTAAATGGAATTAGAGGTTTGGACGGAGACCAGGCACTGCAGACGTGCAGCGAAGATATTACCACCTATACTCAGAAGTCTGCAATGTCATCTGATAGCTCACCCATTGCCACAGAAACCTGTGCCAAAATTTTAGGTTTTCTTTCTTTTCCAACAAAATTTCCAGCTTTTGTAGTGATGAAGGAGGAAAAAGACCCATCCCTCAAAAGTGTGAATTTGGCTGTAGAATGGGGAGCTGTTTCCATGGAGGTAGTTCATGTGTCTAGGGAATAAGTAGAGATGTGTAGCATTTTCTCTTTTGGATGTGGGTTTCTGGAGTGGTGGCAGGGAGAAAGGCTTAGCCCTTACAGATGCCATGTGAGCTCCTGCCATGGTTATATGGCAGTTTGCTCCTCTGTCGACCCATTTTTAGTTCAATGCTACATCCAAATTTGTGCTGCCTAATATTAATATATAAATATTAATGATATTTATATAAAGCAAAGAGCTGAGGTAAACAGTACTCTGACAATTTATTTCATTTATTTTGGCTTTCCCACACATTTCATCCCACCTGCCTTTTGCCTACTAGTCAATGTAACACAGCAATAGAGCAGGGGAATGTTTCCTTCCTTCTCTGGTCCCCCTACCCAAGTTATTGGACAGCTGATACACCCTTGAACTAGTGAATAATTTAAGATTTGCTATCTCATGGCTTTCTGGCATAAGAAACCCAGCCTCTAATCATGTCTCCTATTTTCTAATGTAACTACTTCATTTCAATACTTATTCTTTGTAGGATTCATTGCTATTTTCTTGCTTTTGATTATTTTTTCAATCATGTGGAGAGGGTACTGCTCAACACAGAGCCCATGTGTGCATGTCATATACGCTTGGGCAGTTGGAACTGGAAAATTGCGGACTACTCTGCAAAATGTCCTGAGACATCCATAGATCAGCCTGACATCTAGATTATTTTCGGCTCGTTCCACCTCATGATATTGATGACCCTGTCAGTAAGAGCTGCGGCCGCTCTGTCCAGCGTTTCTGCAGAAAACGTGGCCAGAGCTCCCATTCCTTTAGGACATCTGAAACCCCCAAGTGTTAGCAGAGAAGCTGTCATACTGTTCCAACTTAATGCATCAACATGAAAACTGCTGTTGGTTATGTCTGTAGGGGAAAACTCAGGACACCAAGAGCCTTTAAGAAGTTATGGAACTGGTGAGAGGATCAGTCAGTGTCAGTTGTGGGTGGCAGCTGAGAGAGGTCACAAGAAGCCATGTTGGCTGGCCTGGGGACACTGGTTTTTCCATGGGTGTCTCTGGGGATGGACGATGACTGCACAGGGGTCTGGCTCTGCCGCAGGGCAGCCGTGTGTGGTCTGAGCTATGCCACAGATCTCGTGCATTTCAGCAAGTGCTCCATGTACCGCAGTCACTGTCTGCGTGGCTGTGGCACCCTGGATGCCCATCAGAAGTGTGTGACTGTAGAGAAGAGGGTGCTCCCGCCTGCCTTCCTGCTGGACCTGGTCCTCCACTCATCCTTGAGCTCAGCTCTGCGATGCTCAAGCACCCAGAGCTGTGCGCTGGGCTCCTGTCCTCCGAGACATTCGAGTCCTCCTCCACAGAGCGGGTGGAAGGTAGATCTGCTGACTCCAACAGGACTGAGAGCTGGAGACTCAGCCCCCAGAGATGTGGCAACGGTGGGCTTGTGTCCACTCAGGGGAGGTGAGGACATGGGCTTTCACATCCCTGATGAGGTTGTGCTGTCCTGCGGGGGAGCACGGCCTTCTCCTCAAACCACAGCACCCACCATTTAATGTGACACAGGCGCTATGGGGCCTTCTCTGAAAGTAACTGATGATGGCTCTCAGCCCTCCCTCCCCACTCCCTGCACAACGCATTTAAGACAGGTTCAGCAAAGCTCCTGTCCCGGCTGGATGTTGCCTAAGGCAGGGCGCTGGTGGGCGGCAGGAGCTGTGGGGTGCGGGAGCCGTCTCCCAGCACACGGGGAACCGCCACGACACGCTGGTGGTCCCGGAGCTGGCCCGGGCCGAGGGGCCAGCCGGCACCCCGGGGGCAGCCATGTCGCCAGCGGTGCCCACCTCCCTGCCTCCGCCGCCGCACTAGGCCGCGCCGCTCGTCTCCACGGCAACCCCGCTACGGCGCAGCGGCCGGGCCAAACTCCTGCGGAAAGCGAAGCGCCATGGTGGCGGGTCAGGCCCTGCGCCCCCGGCCCCTACGGCACCTCCCGGCCGGGCGGCGCTGGCCCTGCC